AGTCCTGTTCGCTACAACCACAGGACTCGAGGTTTTTCCTCAATCCAAAAAAAAGCACGATCCCCTATAAGAAAGGTAGGACCTCACGGAAATAGGCGAGGAGGGGCCCACTTCGCTCCCTTATATCCTTGCCACTCTTCCCAGTGTTCTCTTCTTTCGCACCTCTGGTAGTAATGTGGTCCTCGTGCGTACGTTTTACGCATCTTCCTCTTTTTCCCTTCATTAACATCTTGCTTGTTTGCCATCAAACGTTTCTACTCTATTTCCCAGTCACTGGTTCATTGGTTGTCTCAGAGATGGTGCCACATATCATGTCTGTGTAGGGACACGTGGAGTATTACAAACACAATTTATATAATGTTATGAATATCAGACGGTAAGTATTTATTAGTAGGTAGAATTACAAGTCCTCTTTTTCGTTACAGGTACTCGAGGATCTTTACACTGCGCGGTGTACTCGAGGTGAGTGTATTATACTATTAACTACGTGAAGTTAGCACTATAGCATTTACTTTTGGAATTTTTTCTTTTGCTCAAAAATTGTTCGCTTTTTGTTGGTCACGAGTTACCTAATTAAAAAATTTGAAAATAAAACAAAACCATTCCTGGACAACGAGTGGCTTTGAATTAGGCTCCATGCATCTAATGCATATTTCTCAATTAAAGTTATCCTCAGAAGTCGGCAAGGACTTAATCGATGCCAAATTGTTTGTTGGTGACGGATTACCTAATTATAAAATTTGGTGGTGCGCGGTTTCGTCGGAAGAAAAAGCCGTACGCGCATCCGTGGAGTGTGACGTTAGCCCCAATTGCATCCTTGATATCCCAAGAAAGTCGCAAGATTGGTTAAAAAGCCTTTTGTATACCGTATGTAGCATTGTGCATCTCCCTACTCGTCTCTGCATTGGCAATCTCCCTATTCATCTCTAGTTCGGTAATGTACGAAGTTACAAATGAATTCCCTATTATAAAGCTTTAGTAGGCATTATCGCGTACTACTTTCTTTTTGAAATCTTTCTTTGAGTTTACCGATATAGAATTTAAGCACAAGACTAATTTAAGTATTCCCTGTCATCGTGTGTTCGCAAGTGACATTCGAATTTTTTCCTCGACGAACAGTTATCGACGCACTGATTCACATTTATGAACACAATAATTTAATCATGACAGCTTCTGTTTGTCAAACAGTGTAAAATGTGTTTATACAAATTTAAATAATACGTACAGTATAAATTAATAATACAAAACTAACTGTACCAGTATATACAAAGCATCACGTTTCCACATATACTTAAAACTATACGTTGACTATTGTTAATCCATCATTACTCTTTGGTTCCCTTTTTCTCGTTACCCAGAGGACGTTTCCTTGCTGTAATTACACAAAATTACGTGTAAATCAAACATGCGTATACAAGACCCTTGTGGAGTATCTGATAAAAATGTACAATTCTTGACTTTTATAAAACATTTAAATAAAAATACACTACCTGGAAGTAATCTTCAATCTGTTGAAGACTGCGTCCTTTCGTTTCCGGCAGAGCCACGTAAACAAAAACTGACTCGAGCAGCGCCGAAGCTCCAAAAATAGTAAATACTCCAGTAATGCCAACACGCTCGGTAATCTGTTGCAAATAAGAAACACATTATTTAAAACAAACACCAGTTTGAAAAATCAATTACGAGAAAGACCTTCAGCAATGTTTTATACCTACCAAAGGAAAAAGTTTGGTGAGGCTAAAGATTAGCAGATTAAATATAAAGAATGTGGATCCACCGCCAATTCCTCTGGCCCTCAGAGGAAGTAATTCGCCCAGCATGACACCAGGAAGACTCATAAGTCCAATCGTATTGGCAGCGACGTACATGAGAAGACAAAACCCAATGACGTATGCCTTTGAGAAAATAAGATACAAGCATAATAAGATTATTATAACTCTGACGACAATAAATAAAACAATTCAAATGGCGCAAAGCATAAAACGTTTACATACGTCTACGGTAGAATTTTCCTTTTTCGCAAGCATATAACCAGCCAAAATAAGACAAGTAACTGCTGTGCCAATGGCAGAAATTATTCCAAGAGGCCTTCGACCAACTTTCAGTAGCAAGACGCAGCACACCAGACAAAAAAGAAATCTAATGGCGGCCGTCACTACAGCTGCCATGTATTTATCCACACTGTCCCCTCCTTCATAACAGAGAACAAGGAATGAAAATTTTCATTGAATCGTAGATCGATCAAGCAAAATCCACAGAGTTATTGAACCTTACCAAGTTTACTAATGATGTTAACACCGTAGAAAACGATAACGTAGGTACCGCTGAGGATCTGTAGAAAGTTAAATATATTTATAATAGCCAATGGCTTCAGGACTCCTGGATTAAGGATCTTCGATATAGCCGAAGTGGCCTGTTGACTCAAGGAAGCCGTGGAAGAGATCCTGGCCACGTCAGCCTTGGCTCTGGCTTCCAAAAGAGCTATTTCGGTATTGACCTGTCAAAAGGGAAAAATGATTATACGAGCCAAGTGGATACACAATGATTTAATAAAAAGAAAAGCACAATGAAATACCTGCACAATGTCTCCACCTCTGAGCCAAAGAAGAGCTTTTTTGGCAGCATCGATTCTTCTGCGTTTCACGAGCCACGCAGGACTCTCTGGTATCAGGCTCAAAGTGAGGAGTGCCAAGAGGGGCAACGCGGTTCCGCAAAAGGCAACAGTTTCCCAGCTGAAAGTAGCACCCAGTATGTAAACAAAGAGAATTCCCATACTGTATGCAGCAAAGGGAATCCCAACCAAAAGACCACGAAGTCCTGGATCTGCCATCTCGCCAATTAGGACCTGCAAGGTAAAGTGACAATTGATAGTAAGAGCATCGGTTGACAAATAAATTATATACGTATTACATGCGGAGATTCCATTGTACCTGCGCTGGTACTGCGACCAGACCCACAGCGAAACCAGCGATGAGCCTCCCGGCCAATATGCAAGGAATGCTCTTGGCCATTCCTATTACGGCAAATCCAATGCAGAGTGGAATTGATGACAGCTGAAGGCATCCTCGTCTACCGATAACGTCCAGAAGAGGTCCTGACAATAAAGATCCCAACGGCGAGACCAAACTGTGTACCGAGGCTAGAAGAGACAAATTATATTAATTAAGGTATTACTACGGACCGAAAAATAACAAAAGTTTCAATGTAAGGTTTGAACAATCCAGCCTCAACTTTTGAACTGGTACAGTTCACTCGCGCACGGCCATCCCTGCATCGATAGGCACACACTAATGAATGTACATTGGATGTAGCAGTGTATACGTATATACACCGAATACAGTCTCAAACGCAATGTTTCCGTAACGCTCCTTTGTCTAGCCGTCGTACGAGAGATTTCGTTATAAATATCGAACTTCTTTCATGTCTATCAATAAATCCTATGAGTAAAAAGTTCTGACTAAAAATCTAAAAAATTCCAAATTTTGTCCTTTGCCACATACTAGTTTTTCATCGGAATTACGCGGACGAGTCAGGTGCAATGAAAAAAAACCATGCGCGTTTTATTGGCCAGGTACAGGGAATACGTGTTACGAGTCCTGACATAACCTCGGAAATACTCGGAAACTGACGAGTGAATCGTGTTAAAAATTTGTAGAGGGATGTGCTGCTATACAAATTAGACGTAAAATAAATTTCAGCTCGATTACGCGGTTTTGAGTTTACCGTAGTAATACATTAAAGAATAATTCAATCTTCACATACGCAGTGTACAAATAAAAAATTATGGTTGCCATAGAGATGTTACTGACATCGGGAATTGTTCCAGACAATTATTGTCATTATGATATCCTGCATTTTTTCGGCAATTGATTCTATTACCTATTAGATAAAATGACTCGAATGACAATTGTCAAGTAATACAAGAAGTGTCATTTGGATGAATCCAATAAGATCGGATTTTGCGTTCAAATGGAATTGCCGTTTGTCTGTTAATAAAGGAAGCGCAAAGCGAGAAAAGCAATTAGATTGGTGCAAATGAAACTTTCAAATTGGATAGTTTATTACGTGGAGAATTATACGATGTCGATACGCTGACCGTGTGAGAATTGACATTGCCAATTGGAATTGGTACCTTATAGTAATAGATTGGCGAATTTCAAGTTCCTTCAAGTCCAAATTCTTAGGAAGCTGAGGATTTTAAGGGTCAGGATTGGAGAGGATTTTTTTTCTCACTCTCGTCTCTTCTCTCTCTCTCTCTCCCTCCCTCCCTCCAAGAATGCAATTCCTTACCAAGGATCTTGGGTATGGGTAGGGCGAGCAGAAAATTCGAATTCCATTAGGACGGCGTACTATTTTCGAAAAGGGATGAATTTAATTGGTGGGCTCAAGTGGGATCACGAAATGTTCAGTGATCCCAAAAGGAATGTAGGCAATGGCTCGAGATTCAAATGGGAAACTACTAGGATCTCCGTTTCACCAATGCAAAAGAAAAGAAATATAGTAAAGTGGATAAATATGATAATTGAATATTGCGAGAAGATTTTTTTTATTTTAGAATTTTAGTTTTTTTTATCTAAAATGAACACTGCCAATCAGTGATTGCGTCATTACTTTCTGTAATCCTTCAATGACCAAGATCATTTTACCTTTCATGGCTATACATACATATATATATATATATATATAT